ATCCACCATCTGATCTGGATACAGACTGGATCTGGTGGCTACAGTGACCTCGGAATAAGAATGAGACAGTCTAATATTAGCGTAGATGCCACTGAGAACAATAAAGCACATTTTAATTGTAGTAAACACTCTAAACTTTTACACATATTACCTTAAGTCTTAGTGTTGAAAGTAGACACACACTATGTAGTTGCAGTGGAGCAGTCTGGTCACATGGCAGTGTTTGGAGCCTTGGAAGAAATGACTGGCCAGCATCTGAAAACTTGCAATGATGAGAAAGCACCAATGAAACCTTTGGCCACACCCTGATGGAGAAATAAAGTACAGTTTATCTCATGAAATGATGCCTTTTAAATTATTTAAAATGTAATACCAGTTAATTAAATTTGTGATGAAACAGAAGAGCAACCATTTTTTTTGGCACAAAAAAAAATCTCAATCCATCGCACAACACAGGGAGCATTGATGCTGACTGTTCATTAGTTGCACGGATTTGTAACAGAACATGCACATTTCATATTATAAGTCTACCTTAAACAGCATTAAAATAATATCAAAATATGCCTGCCTGTTGTTGATAAATACCAGTGGTGACGTTTTACAAATTGATTGATCAATTGTCTCAATGTTTACTAAGCCATGGTCTCTTTACCAGTGCAGGGACTCGTGTGCACGATCTAGGGATTCACTACCTAGGGAACTGACTGATGATACGCAGTCTGCTTTGATAACAGCCTTGTGAAAGGATATAGTAGTTTATTCTCGTTCGGAACGACGAACTCCTCTCCGAAGCGCCTTCACGAGACCAGAAACGCCGTGTAATCCGCCACGTTTGAAAAGAGCCTGGTTGTTAGTCACGTTTAATGTCGACTTCACGGGACAATTGCAAAAGTTTGCACACGCAAAAACCCATTCAACACGCCCATGTTAACTTCAAATAAGCGTATTACTGTGGTTTACATTACACGTTTCGTCGTAGTAAGCAATGGCTTATAAAAGAGAGAGACCGCGTGATCTCTTCATATCTTAACGTCACGGAAACACAAATATCATACAACACCAAAATTAAACCTACAATTAATTATATTAACACAGCTTTTGACATGAAGTGTTTTATGGATTAAACGAGAGGAAAGAGCACTTCCCTTCACTTAGACAGTTCATTTCCCTCAGACATATTCATACAACGACTATTCGATGTTTTTATATATGTTGTACTTTTGTGTATAAATACATACGTTTTAAATAATACCTTTACACCTTAGTATTGATAAATTCAGTCCAAGTACAAATTCAGTTCCACTTACCTGACGCGTGAACTTGACATACATTTAACATAGCCTAAATATTCATATTTCTTTAGATACACGACTTATAAAACACTTCTAAATATCCACTCAAAAACATCGGATATGCTGTATGTTTTTGTCGATGAATTTAGTCCAAAAAATAACATTTATTTAGTGGCACTTACCTGACACGTGAACTTGACAAGATGGCGCTGTTTCTCCCGCGAAGTCACTCAGGCTCATGCACGTGCAGTGTTGGCTGGATTAGTTTTAGTTTAGTCGACATTAGCATAGCTAATTGTTGACAGAATTTGAAAATAACCGTTCATTCAACCGTTTTTCAACTATATTTGTGTAGACTTAATATAATATGTCCTCCCAACTAAGCCCAAGCAATAAAATTAGCGCAACTTAAATATTTTTGCCCTTCCAACATTTTGTTAATTTGATTTTGAAGTGGATCAAAAAAGTTCATCAAAGTTGTGCTAAAACGAACGCATTTTGGTTTTACGTTTTAGGACAACTTTGATGAGCTCTTGATCCACTTCAAATGTTGACTAGTGTATATATATATATATATATATATATAAACAAAATATTGCAACTTACAGTTCAACAAAAGGCTGTGAGTGGCTGTGCTAGTCATGAAGATATAACTCTGTGGACGTATTCTTTCCATAACAACGCGCTGAAACATGGCATATTCATTTACAGTCCTGTTCTCATTATAATTGTATGTAGCCTATATGACAGATTTGTTCTGCTCATGTTGTCCTTAATGGTACTTTCCTTTCCAAAGTGATTCAAGCAATTCAAAACCATCAGTGGCATATATAGCGTTTGAAGTGTCTCAGCAGGGGGCGGCGTAGGCCAAGAGAGTATCACGGTAAGTAACGTTACTGTGGATTTCGGTTCGGTTTGAATATCGTTACACCAGTCTTTACTAGTACCATAGACTGTATAAAGACTAGTACATACAAAATATAGCGCAGCAAAATTTATGTGCTCATATAATAATGATTTTTTATTTTTCATCTTAAATCACTTTAACCATCATAATACTTGTTCCAAAGCTATTTTTAAATTTCAGAAAGAAATCCAGAGTAAAATTAACTGTTTTTTTTTTTTTATTTCAGGTTCATAAAAATATCATAAATACATTTATTAAAAACATTGTACCCAAAAATAACTTAGATTTTTAAATATATAAAGTAATTGCTACATGTTCAGTTGAGTTAAAATCTTCATCTAGTACGTTAAAGTCATAAATATGGCACTGTTGTTGGATTTTACAGTTCTCTGCAATATTAATATGTGGATTTGAGAGAAACTTGCTCAAATGAGGCAACATTTTTAGAAACAAATCCAGATAAAATTGCACTTTCCTATTATAAGGACACAGTTCTCTATATTGAAATGGCTAGCTGCTTTAAAAAAAAAAATTACAATTAAAATAAATGTCTAGTTGAGCAATTTAAAAACAGGTCAATCTAATAGTATCTTGTGTTTCTGTTGAAGAATTAGTATAATTCAGTTGGTTTAGCTCTACTTGAAGTAGCAGCTTCAAAAATGTTTTGTATGGGCTCTGGAAGCAGTACAATGAAACCAAATGCTGATTTTCTGCCTTTCCCAAACCAAGCACTCATACTGTAATATGACTAATTGAGGTATGGGTCAAGATCTTGTTTCCTTAAAGCAGAAGACATTCAGTTTGCCAAACCTTAAATACTCTGACCTAAGGGTTTAAAAGTCTTTAAAGGCACAGAGGTGGATCCCCTGTTGCCTGTAGTAGTTAAGCACAAAAGGGTCCCTCAAAGTATTAAGCTCGTGTAGTCGGTCTGCAGACTGTGAGAAGTCATCCGGTCCTTCTCCACATCCGCCCTGGTGAGGCTGACTTGGATATCCTGGATGCACCATAAGCTCTGCTGTAACCGGACGATAGGAGTCAGTCGCGGCATCACTGGACTGTATCAACGAGGAGGTCAAACCGTCATCTAGTGAAGCTTCCAGCGTGAAGCCCAAAGCACGTTTCAGGTTGGGGACAGACATGTTCTTACCCATAGTGCTCAGGCCCAGGTATATGTCAGGCCACCTGAGAGGACATACAAAACCAGTATGTAATCGATTAGATTTCATCAGGCAAAAGTGCAAAAGTGGAAAAAACATTTAATGCATGTTGTGTACATACTGCACCTAATGTATCTGAAGGACAAAATTCATATTTATAGACTATTAAAATGTAACTAAACCTGCTCTAATGAGTACACAAGATATTGTAATTTTCCTAAAACATTTGTAAAAACTTTCTACTTGACAACCAGGTGCTGATCATTTAAAATGCTGCCTCACAAACCTAATTCCATAGCGATGAAAGACCTCGATAGATTCAAGGGCATCTTTTTCAACCTGTGCATTAAAGTCTCGCAGATGCGGCGGGAGGAAGGTGCAAAATGTAAGACCGGGTTCTATGGGGACCCGTGTGTAGGTGATCCCAAAATCAGAGAGAACTTGGGCGAACACCTCTCGCACCTCTGAAAAGCATGGTAAAAAGTAAAAAAAATAAAAAGATACCGTTATTTTTATTCAGCAAGAACACCTTAAATTGATCAAAAGTGACAGCAAAGACATTTATAAAGTAAAAAAAAAATATGCTGTTCATTTGAACTTTCTATTAATAATAGAATCCTAGTCCACACCAATATTAAGCAGCACAACTATTTATAACATTGATATTAATAATAAATGTTTCTTGAGTATATGTACTCAGTGAGTGTAATGTATCAGCATATTAGATGGATTTCTGAAGGATCATGTGACACTGAAGACTAGAGTAATTATGCTGAAAACTCAGCTTTGCATCACAGGAATAAATTACATTTTGATATATATTCAAATTGAAAACATTTTAAATTGTAATAATATTTCACAATATTTACAGTATTTTGGTTACATAAACACAGTCTTAGTGACTGATTTCAAAAACATTTTTAAAAATTATTATCGACCAAAAACATTTGAACAGTAGTGGTACATGAATTGTTGGTTATTTGGTGAAAAGGATCGTTCAAACGAACCCACTGTTACCTGGCAGCACATGCACATGCTGGTGGCCGTCCATATGGTAGGGTACGTGGCCAGCAAGTTCACAAAATCGATTTACCTGGGCTCTGAGCTCCGCCTCCACCTTTTAAACAGAAAACACAACACAACTTAAGCACGACAGAATCAGACAAACGTGTTTTGCTGTGCTTAGTTCTGAAGTCTGAAACTTTAGAGGTTATATAATGAAAAGTATTATTCTTGATCTTTGCAAATAAAAGAGGTTCATTTTCAACAAAAACAATGAAAAGCTTCCTCCACAGTCCAAGAAGACCATCTACTGAAACTAAGCTTTATTAAACAACTTGTTTAATAAAAAAAGGGTTAGAGAGAAGGTGGAAAATGGTTATGTAAAAGTATATTTTTCTGTTTTTGGTGCAAACACTCGGCTAACATTAATGGGCTTCAAGAAAAAGAATTTGATTTCAAGAACAATTATGATAAGACCCCTTTAAATGTTTAATTCTAGTAAAAGAAAGAAGAAAAAGGTGGAAATGGTTATGTAAAGGTACATTACATCTGTTTTTAGTGAAAACACTCCTGACTAACATAGTGAACTTCAAACAAAATGTAATAAAAATTAAGATACAACACCTTTACACTTTTAATTTTAGTAAAATATGTGCATATCACATGTGTTTTTCTCTCTTTCTAATTTACTGGATTTACATAGTGGTGTGTATTTTACCTGCTGCTTTAAACTTTAGTTTAAAGAGTACATAATGTCATAACCCCTCTTATAAGCAAGATAATAAAGTCCTTTCATGTTCTACTTTGAGCAACCATTGACACTACTATATAACATGAATACAGTGCTATACAGTGTGATGTAAACACGCTTTATGGTTTGAATTCACTCCCATGTGATGTGACTTTCTGTTGGTCTTTATGAGTGCGTGTTCCTGTGTACCTCTGACATCTTGAGCCGACCACACTGCAAAACTTCCCAGAAGCCCATCTTGCCATGGAAGAATCCATCCTTGTTGAGGAGCGTTGAGCCCTTTAGATCCTGAGACACTGGAAGACCCTCTGAAAGATTCGCATGGAGTCCAATGGGGATGTGATTCCTGTGTGTGAGAAGCGGTGTTATTTTAGAACCACTGAGACACTATTATAGATTTTATTACTATTTTGAATCAGCTTTTTAGATTTTTCGTTTTCATTTAAAGGGGTGGTTCACTGGGTTTTTTCTAGGCTTGATTGTGTTTATGGGGTGCAGTCTAACATGTGTTAATGCTTCGTTTTTTTAAAAACGCATTATTTTTCACATAATTTACCTTTATTCCTCTCTGTCCCTTCTCTGAGAATCGGGACGATCATTTCCTTCTTTTATGAAGCCCCTCCCTCAGAAATAGGCGATGGGCTCTGATTGGTTAGCTAGCCCAGTGTGTTGTGATTGGCTAAACCACCTCTAGCGCGAGTCTAAACGTCCCGTCCCACCCCGCCCCTCACCTCAGCGACATGTGCTCCGGTTGTATTGTTTGTAGGCATTAAACTGCCAGAATTTTAAAAGACAATATCTCCGTTTGCATTGAACTTTCAGCTTTGTAACTTTGCAGATATTGTTTATGCTCAAACAGCAACATTAGACACTAACTAACATTAAAGAAGTGAAATTGCAATGAACCACCCCTTTAAATTTCACTTAAGAGTTTTAGTCATTTTGTTGCGTGTTTTTGTATTTTTTTAAATTCGTTTTTATTTTTCAAGTATGTCTATATAGTTTTTGGTGATTGTTATTTTAGTAAATCATGTTAAACTAAATGAAAATTGCATTTTTTTTCTTAGCAATAAGCTGTAATAAAATTAATTTTTTTATATATTTTATTTCATCTCAGTTATTTTTCAAGTTTATGTATTAGTTAACTATAATAACTATACATCTAACCTCTATACATCTATATCTAACCTATACACCCTATCAGTAGGCCTGGTCTTATCTTTGGCAATAGGTTTAAAAGGCTTACATGTCATACGGGAGGGTGTTGTAACACTTTGTTTAAATGTAAGATACTCAAACTTTGATATCATATTTGCATATTTATCTGCATGAAATTAAAAGTAGTTAGAAAATCAGCTCTGGTACCTTTTGGCCAGGTCTGCCGCGTGCTCCGCTGAGACTGCATTGACCAGAAGGGAGACATTGGAGATCCCACCAGTTTTGAAGCAGTCCACAATCCCTTGATTTCTTCTCTCGCAGTACCCAAAATCATCTCCTGTCACCACCAGCTTCACCTTGGGTTGAGGCATCTTCTCCTCGCCTTGCTGATGAAAGATAAAAATACTAGATTAGAGATCGACCCATAGCTTTCTTTAGGATTAATACTGATTATTTTTACATTAAAGGGATAGTTCACCCAAAAATGAAAATGTGATGTTTATCTGCTTACCCCCAGAGCATCCAAGATGTAGGTGACTTTGTTTCTTCAGTAGAACACAAATGAGGATTTTTAACTCCAACCGTTGCAGTCTATCAGTCGTATAATGCATGGCAATGGTAACAAAATCTATGAGAGTAAAAAAAACATGCACAGACAAATCCAAATTAAACCCTGCGGCTCGTGACGACACATTGATGTCCTAAGACATGAAACGATCGGTTTGTGTGAGAAACCGAACAGTATTTATATCATTTTTTACCTCTAATACACCACTATGTCCAACTATGTCTTTGAGCGCGCGCACGGAATCCGGTGCGTGAGGTGTGTACGCGCTCTGGCGTAGTTTACGTTAATGTTTAATTTGGATTTGTCTGTGCATGTTTTTTTTACTCTCATAGATTTTGTTACCATTGCCATGCATTATACGACTGATAGACTGCAACGGTTGGAGTTAAAAATCCTCATTTGTGTTCTGCTGAAGAAACAAAGTCACCTACATCTTGGATGCCCTGGGGGTAAGCAGATAAACATCAAATTTTCATTTTTGGGTGAACTATCCCTTTAAGCAGAAATTCGTTCATTTTTTTATTTCTGTTTTTTGACAATAATAACTAAAGGATCTTTAGACCGCACTACAGAATATGAAACAAAATATTTTATAAATAATAATAATTATTGATAATAACAATTGTTGCTAATTATGGCATTATATAAAGATTTACCTTAAAAAGCCACTTTTTTCATCTTTGTTTTAGGCTGTATATCTAATTGTGAAGCTATTAATTTCCTACTTGAAAATGAATCGCTGATTCATTAATACTGTTTATTTTTATGCTAAACAGAATTTTAATTCATTCTATTTAGACTTAATAATAACTAAAGGATCTAAATTTTATAAATGTTATTAGATTGTATTAATGTAATATTAATAAAACGCTGGCATTTATTACTAAATGTAAAAAATATTATTTAAATATTATCTTATTAACATATATTTACTAACACGACATTTTATTTATGCTAAAAATTGTTGCTATTTATTAAACCCGTTTTGCCTGCGCCAAAAGGTCACTTATTTATTTATTTACTTATTTATTTCTGCGTCTAATGGTTAAACTGCATTTCTAACTTGAAAATTAATTGCTGTAATTCATTTATATTATTAAAATGTTAAGTAATTATACAAAAAATGTATTAAAGAAGATACTTTACCTGTTGTTTTGTCTTATTTTCAACAAACGGTGCCATTTGGGTAGATCCAATTATACTGACAACCAATGAAACGTAAATATCCGTTAAAAATATCTATAAAACCGATTAACCAATCTCTAAAAAAAGAGAGAATTTTTCAATATGAAGACAGACAGAGAAGTGTCAGTCATGCGAGTCATATATAATAGGGATGGGCGATACCACTTATTTTGTTTTCGATACCATACCGATATTTTTCAAGGCAGTATCATCGATACCGATACCGATACCGATACGATACTTCTGAACTAAACTTTTAAATTATGAAATGTATTAAATTACTAATAGTAAAATGGGTAATGATAACCACTTAACTATGTTTAAAACGCATTTTAACATTCAATACGCCTTAATTGTAATGGTTGAACTGGATCATCGAAGGTCAGAAGCAAAGACATTGGTTAATAGAATGGGATTAAATACATAAAGGATATTTGTGTTGTTTAACGTAATTATTGCAGGTTTGCATTATATTCTGAGTTGCATTATTTTTATTCATTTTGAGGAATACTGAATCTGTTTTTTTTTTTTTTTGTGAGTGAGATGAGTTAATGCATATTCATATTTGTTTTAGAACTGCAGTAACATCTGATTTCTCTCAACATAGGGACAGGAGAGCGGTCAGTCAATAAATTGGAAAAAAAGTAACTTGCGTTACTTATTTGAAAAAGTAACTCAGATATTCTCTTGTAAATTCAAAAGTAATGCGTTACATTACTAGTTAACTGAAAAAAAGTAATCTGATTACGTAACTCACGTTACTTGTAATGCGTTACCCCCAACACTGGTTCAGATGAGCAGGAATATAGTTCTATCCTACACAATTATTTACTAACATAGGTTATTCGTCCAATTCAATGCATTATTTTTTTGTTAAATAAACAAAATCACTGGTAAATAAAACACACCTTAGTATCGATATTTATTGTTTGAGTATCGATACTTTCGATACTCGCATCAGTATCGATATATCGATACTTCGGATCGATACGCCCATATATAATAAAAGCCAGTCATTCACACAACAGGAAACGCTCCTTGAATCAACCTGTCAATCCACATCACTCCAACATCATCTGTTTCAAGACGAAACGAAACGCGATTCTCAGCTGCTTATCACCCGCTCGTTAATAAGACAGATCTAAAAGTCTGCCTCCTTATTCACTGCATCGGTGTTAACGAGCAACTGCCACTGCCTGTCCATTACATATGGTATACAATCGCATCAGCCCGATTAACGTTACATACTGGTTATAGATTTACTCCGCTTGATCTATTAATAAGAAACACACACATGTCTTATAATTTCAGAGGGACTAATAATTAGTTTTGTGATATACTCCTAGTCAGCTGTAGTAATCGCTTACCCATTTTATAGCGAGGTTTTTGCCATTACAATGTATCCCAACAGTGTGCGGAGAGAATGACTGAAGACATAAAACTGCAATTTCCTTTTCCGGAGCTGCAGCGCCCTCTACCGGGTGTGAATAAAACAACGACACGTGTACAAATAGGTCCGTGCAGTTTCAACGTTTCTCTTCCTGATTTATGTCAAAATCTATTTTTAAATTAAAAATATATGTTTTAAATGGATATTTGATATGTTTTTCAATTTTTAGCATTTTTTATTTAAAAATATAGATATTTAGCTACACCATATGATCAATGCATACCATGATATCGTGTTCTTATTTGTTCTTAAAATGAATAATTCGATTTTTTCCAAGATGTTGGCAACCAAAAACACGATATGTGCTTCTATGAAAACACTTTATGAATAATTATTATTAAGACTGAATAAAATTATGACAATGTGGTGTTTTAGAAAATAGATATTTTATAGATAAAAGTTATAAACTTATTGTGAACCTTTATAAAAGTTTTTAATCAGATATTAATTAATAAACAACAATAAACTAGGCTATATAGGCATACTCACCAGAGCCAGGATTTTGCTGTTCTCAATGTTATGAATGTAAGCTGAATGTTATCCTTATACACAGACTTAAAGGGGTCGTATTAAGTTATGCTTTTTCACTTTTTCAACTTTAGTTAGTCTGTAATGTTGCTGTTTGAGCATAAAAAAGATCTGCAAAGTTACAAAGCTCACGGTTCAACTCAAAAGGAGATATTTTATTTAACAGAAATCACTTTTCAAAAATTACAACAAACGACTCGTTTGGACTACAACGTATATTTTCTGGGATTTGTGACATCACAAATACCGATGAATGGGACGAGACCTGGTTGAGCTGCACTAGAGAAGGCAACGAACAGCCTGTTCTAGTACACACCCAAAACAAAATCAAGACTTCGTAAAAGAGCATAATAGGACCCCTTTAAGACAGCAGGGGTGACTTTGCTTACGTGTCTATGGAGGCTTTTGAATGTTTTCCCCAAGACACCTAACCTCGTTTAGAAATAAGGAAAACATCATAAAGTATCATGTTTATGATCTTTGTTTGCGCACGTTCAAGTGCTTTCAACTTCAGCCACTGACGTAGCAATAATATGCATAGCATCACTTAACATTATGTGTTAGAATAACACTGTAGCATAACAGTTTACTGGAAACAGTGGGATGTAATGTCATTTAGAAATTTGATACATTCTACTTTAAAACAATGAAACTCCAGAAACATGTCTTGTTCTGCTTTTGTATATATATATATATATATAGATAGATAGATAGATAGATTTTTTTTTCATATGTCCAGCATTTGTTAAACACAAGAATGCATCCTGTGTAAACGGCTCCTGATGAAAGAACGGTACAAACAGTAGTGGGAAAACACTTAGTGAACATTGATTCTTTATTAAGTTGTAGTGGAGGCCGGGGCAAGTTGTCACATGTAATATTGTCACGAGTGCTATTTCTCAGTATCTATGGGTATTTTGAGGCTAAAGTCCAGTTTCCCACTACTTTAGTAGTGCTTATCTATGTTAGTTTCAAACACCTGTTTCAAAAGTAGCTAGTGTTAAATTAGGACTACACTTTCTTGGCTAATCAAAAGGAAATGATTAAATAAAATAATAAAATAAATAATATAAGGTAAACATAATAAATAAGGTAAATAAATAAAGCGACTATGAGGAAGATTTTAACCAACGGTTGAACCGTGCAGGCTGTCATTGTGAATATATTGAAATGTTATACAATTAATTCATTACAAAAAAAAACAGTGGTTTTATTGTTTTGTGTTTGTTTGTTTGTTGTTGTTTATTTATTTATTTATTTTTGAACGTACTATTGATAGATAATAATAATATATATATATATATATAATATTGATATTGTATATTGTAACGGTCATTAATATGTCGTGACGTCACATCGTCCTCGCCCAATCACTGCTTTCCGTGTGTGCGCGTGGATCACTTCCTCGGTTTCGGACTTGTCATGATGCGATTGGTTAGAAAGCGTGTCAGCGTTTGAATGGGGCTCTCCGTATCCATTCTTCTGTGATGTAGCCTACATAGACACGAGCTGTAACAATGGGACCATTAAGAGTTATATGTGTCTTTCTGGATTTGATTTTAGTATGTCTGATGTTTGCCCCGTGCGGCGCTCGTGATTTGGACTCAAGCTATGTGACGTGCGGCTCTCTGGTCAAACTGCTGAACACGCGCCACAGCGTCAGACTTCACTCACACGATGTCAAATACGGATCAGGTAGTGTATCCACTGTGAATAGTCAATATAATCATCAACTATAGCAGTGTGGTCAACGAAGCCCTTGGAGAATGCTTATGTTCTAGTCGACAGCTTAATCTTCGCTTTTAGTCTTTTATGCACTTATATTGAATACATTGTGTAATAGCAGCTGGTGCATGTATGCATTAGCCAAGAAGCTAATGACTGCTAATATTTCTAATCAGTAAACGGTAATGTATTTGTCTTTCCGTTAGCCTGTTCTAGACTCTCTTTCATCCCCCGGAGGTTTTATTTCTGTTGGTTAAGAATTTTATTATTAACAAACTTGCCCTGCTATGGGGCTAATATCTGTAAAATGAACTGTAACTGTATCAAACATTGGAAATTGAACTTTTTTTTTGGCTTCAAGTATGTTTCTATACAAAAACTGACCAATATTGTTGTTGTTGTTGTTGTGGTTATTTTTAATAATAATAATAATAATAATAATAATAATAATAAAATTATATTTAACTCAGTGTAACCAGACATTTTAGCAGTTCTTTAGGTAAAAAAAGGGTGTATTATGTTTACCTGAACGATCCAAGTAATCATGGCGACAGGTGCACTACAAAATACTAAAAGGCACCATAATAATACAATTTTTGTAATAATACGTATGGTATTCATTCGACTGGCATTAATTCCTTACACG